ATATGTATATCTCACAATATTTTGTCGGGCAAGAATTAACCCCATAGGCCCCCTTTTTCGGAAATTCGAAAAAAATTCATAACTTTTTCAAAATACACGTGGATGGGAGTTTTTTTTTATGAATGTGTTCCTCTGATGGTACTCAATAATATGTATATCTCACAATATTTTGTCGGGCAAGAATTAACACCATAAGCCCCCTTTTTCGGAAATTCGAAAAAAAATCATAACTTTTTCAAAATACACGTGGATGGGAGTTTTTTTCTATGAATGTGTTCCTCTGATGGTACTCAATAATATGTATATCTCACAATATTTTGTCGGGCAAGAATTAACCCCATAGGCCCCCTTTTTCGGAAATTCGAAAAAAATTCATAACTTTTTCCCGACAAAATATTGTGAGATATACATATTATTAAGTACCATCAGAGGAACACATTAATAGAAATAAACTCCCATCCACGTGTATTTTGAAAAAGTAATGATTTTTTTTCGAATTTCCGAAAAAGGGGGCCTATGGGGTTAATTGTTGCCCGACAAAATATTGTGAGATATACATATTATTGAGTACCATCAGAGGAACACATTCATAAAAAAAACTCCCATCCACGTGTATTTTGAAAAAGTTATGAATTTTTTCGAATTTCCGAAAAAGGGGGCCTATGGGGTTGATTCTTGCCCGACAAAATATTGTGAGATATACATATCATTGAGTACCATCAGAGGAACACATTCATAAAAAAAAACTCCCATCCACGTGTATTTTGAAAAAGTTATGAATTTTTTTCGAATTTCCGAAAAAGGGGGCCTATGGGGTTAATTGTTGCCCGACAAAATATTGTGAGATATACATATTATTGAGTACCATCAGAGGAACACATTAATAGAAAAAAAACTCCCATCCACATGTATTTTGAAGATGTTATGATTTTTTTTCGAATTTCCGAAAAAGGGGGCCTATGGGGTTAATTCTTGCCCGACAAAATATTGTGAGATGAACATATTATTGAGTACCATCAGAGGAACACATTCATAGAAAAAAACTCCCATCCACGTGTATTTTGAAAAAGTTATGAATTTTTTCGAATTTCCGAAAAAGGGGGCCTATGGGGTTGATTCTTGCCCGACAAAATATTGTGAGATATACATATCATTGAGTACCATCAGAGGAACACATTCATAAAAAAAAACTCCCATCCACGTGTATTTTGAAAAAGTTATGAATTTTTTTCGAATTTCCGAAAAAGGGGGCCTATGGGGTTAATTGTTGCCCGACAAAATATTGTGAGATATACATATTATTGAGTACGATCAGAGAAACACATTCATAGAAAAAAACTCCCATCCACGTGTATTTTGAAAAAGTTATGATTTTTTTTCGAATTTCCGAAAAAGGGGGCTTATGGGGTTATTTCTTGCCCGACAAAATATTGTGAGATATACATATTATTGAGTACCATCAGAGGAACACATTCATAGAAAAAAACTCCCATCCACGTGTATTTTGAAAAAGTTATGAATTTTTTTCGAATTTCCGAAAAAGGGGGCCTATGGGGTTAATTCTTGCCCGACAAAATATTGTGAGATATACATATTATTGAGTACCATCAGAGGAACACATTCATAGAAAAAAACTCCCATCCACGTGTATTTTGAAAAAGTTATGATTTTTTTTCGAATTTCCGAAAAAGGGGGCCTATGGGGTTAATTCTTGCCCGACAAAATATTGTGAGATATACATATTATTGAGTACCATCAGAGGAACACATTCATAGAAAAAAACTCCCATCCACGTGTATTTTGAAAAAGTTATGATTTTTTTTCGAATTTCCGAAAAAGGGGGCCTATGGGGTTAATTCTTGCCCGACAAAATATTGTGAGATATACATATTATTGAGTACCATCAGAGGAACACATTCATAGAAAAAAACTCCCATCCACGTGTATTTCGAAAAAGTTATGATTTTTTTTCGAATTCCCGAAAAAGGGGGCCTATGGGGTTAATTCTTGCCCGACAAAATATTGTGAGATATACATATTATTGAGTACGATCAGAGAAACACATTCATAGAAAAAAACTCCCATCCACGTGTATTTTGAAAAAGTTATGAATTTTTTTCGAATTTCCGAAAAAGGGGGCCTATGGGGTTAATTGTTGCCCGACAAAATATTGTGAGATATACATATTATTGAGTACCATCAGAGGAACACATTAATAGAAAAAAACTCCCATCCACGTGTATTTTGAAAAAGTTATGATTTTTTTTCGAATTTCCGAAAAAGGGGGCCTATGGGGTTAATTCTTGCCCGACAAAATATTGTGAGATAAACATATTATTGAGTACCATCAGAGGAACACATTCATAGAAAAAAACTCCCATCCACGTGTATTTTGAAAAAGTTATGAATTTTTTCGAATTTCCGAAAAAGGGGGCCTATGGGGTTAATTCTTGCCCGACAAAATATTGTGAGATATACATATTATTGAGTACCATCAGAGGAACACATTCATAAAAAAAAACTCCCATCCACGTGTATTTTGAAAAAGTTATGAATTTTTTTCGAATTTCCGAAAAAGGGGGCCTATGGGGTTAATTGTTGCCCGACAAAATATTGTGAGATATACATATTATTGAGTACGATCAGAGAAACACATTCATAGAAAAAAACTCCCATCCACGTGTATTTTGAAAAAGTTATGATTTTTTTTCGAATTTCCGAAAAAGGGGGCTTATGGGGTTATTTCTTGCCCGACAAAATATTGTGAGATATACATATTATTGAGTATCATCAGAGGAACACATTCATAGGAAAAAACTCCCATCCACGTGTATTTCGAAAAAGTTATGATTTTTTTTCGAATTCCCGAAAAAGGGGGGCCTATGGGGTTAATTCTTGCCCGACAAAATATTGTGAGATATACATATTATTGAGTACGATCAGAGAAACACATTCATAGAAAAAAACTCCCATCCACGTGTATTTTGATAAAGTTATGAATTTTTTCAGAAATTCCGAAAAAAGGGTCCTGTGGGGTTAATTCTTGCCCGACAAAATATTGTGAGATATACAGATTATCATAGACCCTCAGAGAAAACCATTGATGTAAAATAGTTTCATCCATGGACATATTTTTGAGGATTAAGTAATTTCATGGCCAGCCATGAATATAAATTGATAATGAACGACCATTGGTGGTATGGCGCGCGCCTTGAATATTAGGCGAAGTCGTGGCTGGAACTCGTGGCTGGTTTCACACTGATAAAAAAATTCACCAATAGAAAAAGTCATTCCTTCATATACCATATAAGTGAACTTGAAAAACAGTTGCCAGAAAAACAGTTGCTGCTTTCACACTCGTGCAAAGTTGAGCCAACAAAACACAGGTGCTTACCGCCATTTCTATAGAATAGATGAGATGAGCGAAAAAGTACTCCAAGATTTATTAGACATTTTACATTTTCCATATTATTTTGAAAAAGATGAATGAAATACTGATTTACCCATTCACAGAGGAATGTCCTAGATAATAATAATTATTTGGAATATACAGGGTGTCCCACTTACCATGCTCACCATGGGTATCTTTTAAACGGTGAGAGATACGAGGTCGGTTAAATGACACCAAATGTGGAGTTTGTCAAGGCCAACTATAATGTGAAAAAATATTTCGATAAAATCTATTCGTTTTTGTTTTATACGCAAAAAACAGATTTTGATCATTTTCATGTCTCCTCCGTAACTTCTTTATTTATGAAAATATTCAGAAAGGAATTTCACATTCTCATGGCAGTTTTTCAAAGTGATTTCGAAAAAAATATGAAATTTATACCAACTCTTCTAGAATTTGAGATATCAGCACCAACTTTAGTTTTTCAAATGTAGGTCATAGCTCACTATGACTTAGTTACAAATAACTTTTTTTTCTCTTTCAGATGATATGTCGCAGTGATAGTTTTGTGTTGATAACAACGGAGTTATCGTCATTTACACGAAAACAAAAAATTATTTGGAAGCCGCCATCTTGAATTTATGAATTTTATCAAAAAATCATGATCTCCGACCTCAAAAACACACACTTACCAATTTCGAATGGAATTGGACCAAATCTTGTCCGCCATCTTGGAGCAGCCATTTTTTTTAATTTCAACAAAAATTCCATAATGTATTGTCACCGAAATTATGAACACCTGTCGAATTTCAAGGTAATCGGGGTTATGGAATTTTTGTTGAAATTAAAAAAAATGGCTGCTCCAAGATGGCGGACAAGATTTGGTCCGATTCCATTCAAAATTGGTAAGTGGGGGTTTTTGAGGTCGGAGATCATGATTTTTTTGTTAAAATTTATAAATTCAAGATGGCGGCTTCCAAATAATTTTTTGTTATTGTATAAATGACGATAACTCCGTTGTTATCAACACAAAACTATTACTGCGACATATCATCTGAAAGAGAAAAAAAAGTTATTTGTAACTAAGTCATAGTGAGCTATGACCTACATTTGAAAAACTAAAGTTGGTGCTGATATCTCAAATTCTAGAAGAGTTGGTATAAATTTCATTTCATATTTTTTTCGAAATCACTTTGAAAAACTGCCATGAGAATGTGAAATTCCTTTCTGAATATTTTCATAAATAAAGAAGTTACGGAGGAGACATGAAAATGATCAAAATCTGTTTTTTGCGTATAAAACAAAACGAATAGATTTTATCAAAATATTTTTTCACATTATAGTTGGCCCTGACAAACTCCACATTTGGTGTCATTTAACCGACCTCGTATCTCTCACCGTTTAAAAGATACCCATGGTGAGCATGCTAAGTGGGACACACTGTATAGATGGAATCCGAGATAACATTCTGATTACATTCGAATAATTTCGAGTGGCATATGGCCTCTCAATGCGGCGTTTGTTTCAGCCCCGGCGGCCCACGCGGATGCCGCCTCTGGCGGAGCGCCACCCCCACCGCCACCGCTCTTGCCAGCCGCAGCCGACGTCCATGGAAGCGAGCCGCCGGCTCGATGGGGACACGGTCCATGTCGTCGATGCCGCCGCCGACGCCGCTGCCGCGCAGATGCGCAGGTCGCCGCATAAACAGCAGAACCACGGTGAGGAGACCCGCCTCTTTGTCCTTCGAATTTAAGCGCTCCTTGCCCTCGGCTCGTTCGATAACGAGCATGTTCCGATATTCCCGAACATTACTGCCCGGTATATTTTATTGTTCCGATTTCGCCTCGGAATTTGCTGAAATTTACTGGCAACATATCTTAAAATTTGACCTTTTTCACAAGGGAAGTCAAAAACGTTATCATGACAATGATGGAAGTAAGATATGGTGCGCGCATTCGGCCATTATTACGTATTGAAAATTTCAGAAAAATCACTCGACCGCCTACTATGATTTCTTCACGTCACAACGAGCGAGACGTTGATTCTACATTTTCTCGCTAGATGGTGATGCTGCTATTGCTGATGTGACGAGTGAAAATCATTATAGGTACGCGGAACATATGTAACAGTGGGATTATTCAACTCTGAATTCGAAAAATCTGCGACAATTTCAAAACTGACAGATGTCATAATTGTGCAATGTCGCCATCTATTAGAAGATCGACGGAACCATTGCTCTCGCTGTTCTCGAGAGGTCGAGTCAAATTTCTGAAACAAAAGCGCATCAGTAATTACACCATATCTTACTTCCATCATTATCCTGACCATATATTTAATATTTAAAATGCAATGTCAATACCTGTGAATTCGAACGCTACTGAGCAGTGATGTCAGTGTCTTCTTGAAATTTGATTGGTTGGAGTTCTGACGGCTGGGAATCACTCCGCTGTTGCCATATCTCTATAAAATCCTTGAATTGATCCTATATGCAAGATGGTGCAAGGAATTCAATGATTCAAAATAGCTATGTAGTAGGTGATTAGTTGATTGGTAATTCACTGCTGATCTAATTTACTCTGAACTCCAAAGTATTCCGTTAGTTTCAAGATTAACTGGGAAAATGTGATGCAGGCATCTAACAGTAAGACGCTACTGAGCAGTGATGTCAGTTTCTTCTTGAAATTTGATTGGTTGGAGTTCTGATGGCTGGGAATCACTCCGCTGATTAAAACTGTTTTAATCTTCTCCTGAAGATGCTAACATAGTTTGCGAAACACGTGTCGAGGCGTTAAAAAATCGGTTTGGTTAGTGGTGAAACAGTGTAGTGTATTATCGTGCCAAAGGTTCCAGTCTTCGATATATGAATATTGCTGTTAATTAGGAACGTATTATTATCATTATTACTATTATTATGTGTTATACTTATTTTGTATGCTGCTTTGTTGACTATGACTCTTATGGGTCCCAAAGGATTAATGAATTGATTGATTGATTGATTCCGGCGAAATACAGAGCCTCTGTTTCGTTTTCAAAGGGCCACCCTGTACATATATCGAAATATATGTAGAGAGAAAGCGTTCGGTGACGATGGCGCGAGTTCCATCATTTTTGTTCACCCAAAAAGTGCTCAACGCGCCTAAAGTAGTTTTCACTTGAAAAAAATAGTAAGAAAAACCAAAAAAAGATACATAAACCCTAAATCGTATCTTCTTATTTTGTTAGTGAAAACTATTTATTCACTATAACTTCGAATACTTTGAATAATCTGAATAACCTATATTGATTAGTTTTTTTTTAATTGACCCGGCTGTTACGTGATGGAAATCCATGGCGAATGTAAAAACTTCACAAATGATAAGATTTCCACAAAATTTCCAAGTACCTACATGACATGTTTCGCTAACACAGTAGCTTCGTCAGGTGATATACTGTACCAGTATGAGCATTTTGTTTATGTTTGTGAAGTTTTTACATTTATTGATTAGAGTGCCATGAAAATTTCTGAGCTACAGAACAATGATTATAGTTCAACTGAAGCTCTGAAATAGAATTTGTTATCTTTTGCAGGAAGAGATCAGCAGTCATTGGTACCCTATCTCAGGACGGCTTTGTATGACTATGAAGCCCAGGGCGAAGATGAATTGTCCCTCAGGAAGGGTCAAATTGTGGAGGTGTTGTCTGAAGATGCCAAGATATCTGGAGATGAGGGCTGGTGGACTGGGAAGATTGGAGACAAGGTAGGATATAGATATACCATTTCAAGTCAACAGAGTATTTGGGATATTACTTTTAACAATGGATGTCCATATTATTATTGCACAAAAACGAAGTTTGAAGGCAGTGTGCTCACTCGTTTGAGATCGATTTATTTTTTCTTTGATCATCAAAAAGAACAACAAATTTGTAAAAAAATTTCACCATGGCAACTCGATTTCTTAAACACATTACCATGGCAACACAGTTCATTAAACACAGCTTCAGTAATTTGAGACATGTGTGGCCTGTCAATTGTATTAACTGTAACTGTCAACTGTTATTTTCAAATTTCATATCAGAATGGGCGTGTACACCTCAGTAAAACTTTTAACTCAAACCATGTTTATAATGATCCTTTTATACATAATTCTTTCGAAAAATTAACTGGAATATTTCATTTTTGGGCATAAATAATAGTACCTTCTGAAAACGGACCCTCTTATGACGTAGAAACCTCATCTCGCCATAGTTGAAAGAAAATACCAAACGCCAGACTGAGACTGAGGCAACTGATATACTAATCATAGAATAACTCCCTCGAGCTAAAGCTCTCGGGAGTTATTCAGATTATTAATGTTCATAATGGTCTCAAAATACAAGATACTCTCGATAGAATTATGACGAAAATAATAGTCGGCTATATGTCATGGTCTCGGGATATTACCTGCGAATATTTCTTCAAGAAAATTCGGGAAAAGAGTAATCATTGTGAAAATATTCATCAAACATAGGGATTCCCTTTCATGCGCACCAAGCGATGAAAAAAATTGACAAGTTGCTTATTTTCATGCTAAAGGTGATGAGTGTTCTTAATGTATCTACTTAGGTGTATTTACGATCACATAATAAACTATTGAAAGTTATAAAATTGAATATAAATGCTTGAGAACCTAAACAAACACAAACAATTGAATATCATAAAATTACTTTTACTGGGCATAATGTCTATCTCATATAGCAACATACTTCACAATCTCCTCCGAATTGATAACACTTTTATTAGCGGCAGCTCAGTCATTATTCAGAATAAAATTTACAAATTATCTGAAAGATATCCAAATTGAAAAAATCGGGAATAATCTTTTATCACTTCAACATCGTCAGATCGTTTGAATCATATTTGACATGAATTACAATTTCTAACATAAAGTCTTCCCGGTCCATGTGTCAGGATCAAGATTGGGATAAAGGTTTGTCAAATATTTCCAGAGACTAGAAAAGTTTGTGAGGATGTTTGTTGTGATTTTGCAGGCTTTTTTAGTAGAAATGTCGTTGTAAGCTAACAAAAATGTTTCTGGAACTGATTTTTTGCTCTGCTTCAAGAAAATATTTTAATAGTGATTCATTTGTACAAAAATAATGTTGAGCAATGATTGCCTACATGATTTATGATATTCACATTCTTCTCAGCTTCTTAATTGATTCCTTTATTTTGAGAATCTTGGAATGTAAGTTTAAAATTGCCAACATGACATCATAACAACAATGTGGCGGCATGAGTAAACATAATATAGAGCACTACAAGCCTAACTTGATGTATAATTTGGCAGTAGGTGGTTCATTGTCATTTGTTCTTTCATTATTTTACATTTTATAAATTGTCCATCTATTCCTATCTTGACAAAGGTTGTTATTTATTTTTACTTAGTCAATTTATTTTGTTTCCAAAAATACAATACAATTAATTAATTTTACAAATACTAGTTACTACATATAAAGAGTAAGCTGAATCTATTTAAAATTCTGCTAACAAGGTTCATGGAAATTCATCAGAATGTTAATTATTGTGCCTGCCTACCTACCTAATTTACTTCATAGTAACCATGTGTCATTAACTTCTGGCATGATGTACATTAATTTTTTCTGCATAAATTCTAAAATAACTGCTAACATTTTCCCGCATTTCCCCCCTTGATAATGGTTTGTTTTGTTTTCTAATTGTTATGTCATTGGTGGTCATTAAACGTCTGGACTGTGACTATCAATTATTTTTTATTAATTCATTCATTCTAAGAATTTATAAACTGGAACTGTGTATTTAAAATAGTGTGAGAAATATTATGTTCAGGATAATCTCTGATTTTATGGAATAATCTATCTAATTGGTGAAGAATATTAATTCCTTCATAGAAAATAAGCTAGTGGGTAGTTGTTTTTCGAGTTTTTGAGTCAAGCTTCTTTGCCAATTAAGGCAAATTATGGTACTTAACTTGATTTTCTCAAGACTTGCGAGCACTGTGTTGCTCTAGCAAAATCCTTATTGTTTTTTACATAGTCATGGATGAGATTCTTTGCTCCCAAACTGTCAACTCCACTTATCATGAATATGGTATGTGTAAAAGCATTCAAAAAACCGGTGATTTTGAAAGTAAAGGGTACGTTGGCACTGTAAAAACATCATGCAATGTGTTGTTAGGTTTGTGATTAGTCAAGTTGTGAAAGATATTTTTTCTGATATTTTGGGCAGTGGAGACATAATTGAATAATAATCAGATCCTGGAATCCTTGAATTTTCGGAGTTTCACTCAATGATGGGATATTGTAAATTACATTCATGTTTCAACAGGTCTTACACAGGGTGAGTCATGAGGAACTGTACATCAGGGTTGGCATGAATTAATTCATATGAATTAAATCAGTGATTTAATTCGTGAATTAATTCCATTGACTTTTTTCGAAAAAGTCATGAATTCATTCAAATTTTAAAAAATGAGACAATTTGCACTATTACCTTTGATTTTAACTAGTTTAAACTGAAAAATTCGATCGTATTTTGGCAAGACTTTCTTATTTCAAGCATGACAGAGATTTTTAATAACAGATATATACAGTATCAATCGATTTTGACACATGTCACGTGATCACTGGTATGGTGATAAAATAAAATAATACTATAAAGGCGACGAAAAGTGGAGTCACATAACAAAATATCCATAAACATTTCTTATTAAGTTGCTATTCCACATTCAGTTTCGAGCAATTTTTGGAGGAGAATTGGGTATAGCTATATTTTCTTGAATACTCTTCAATTTTGTTACAATCCTCTTTTTTTTCTGACAGTAGTGATGTTGTACAAGTTGAATAGAAGTCAATTTCATGCTCACATATGAAGTTTACAGCTATTATTTGAGAAAACTGAAAATAGCATCGTAATTTTTTGAATTTACCGCCATACCATTGATCAAGTGACATGTGTCAAAATCGACTTTTAAGTAGTCAGACATGCATAATAGATCCCTGAGAAAAAATGTTTCGAGGTTCTACTAATAAACTTTTTCTCCATGTGTTACGAACTTAATGGATGATACTGGATCTATAGGTATCTATTATTTCGTATTCTATCATCACTTCTAATTTTGTTTTGAAAAAATGACATGTTATATTATGATGTTATTCTACAAGATTTCTGAAGGAAATAAAAACATAGTTTTTTTGTTCTTTTTTTCTTCAAATGAATTAGTTCAAAAATGTCTGACTTGATTCAAAAAGTCGGACTGTGATGACTTCTTTATAAATGTCATGACTTATTGCAACCCTGCTGTACATACACCTACCACGAATAGATAAAATCCAGGACCGTTTTTGAAAAATTTTGATTGTTCAGTTTTGATCAAAAAGTTTATCCTGTATATGGTTTTTGTAAACTGTAACAGGGAATTTTGAAAGCAAATAAACAAGCATCAAAAATGAAATATTCAAAATTTTCTTCACAGTTTCACTGAATTTTTCAAAAAACGATAAATTTTAAGCAAAAACGAAAGTTTCAATCGAAAATAATTACTTCGTAACGCATAAATTTCACAACTAAAAGTGTATGGCTCACATTTCCAATGGAAATCAACATGTTCTTTTATACCAGGCCTGGATTTGGTCATTTCATTTTTTGTGGAGGGTAATATGAGGGTAATAATCACCCTGTAGATCTTGTTCGAATCAGTGGATGAGGTATCTGTTTAGATGTCAATGGTCATCGATTCAAATAATTCAATATAGTCGAACAGAAAATAAAGGTTTATTCACAATTACTTTTCGAAAGCTATACTGACATAGGCGGATAATAATTCTAGTACGGAAAATAAGTGATCAAATTAACTGAATAATACAAATCGAATAGATAATACTGTGAATTGAGATCATTAGATTATCTATTGCGATGGCCATCAACATTTTCACAGATACCCCATCCACTGATTATATAGAGAGGGGGCCGTGGAAAGTGAGACACGCTGTATATACAGGGTGATCCACGGTGGATGGCCTATTAGAATTATCTGGAGAACGAAAAGACAGAACATTCTGAAAATTAGGATGCTTTGATAATTAAACATTCTCTATCCGTCTGAAATATTTTCATCGATACAGTGTTGCCACTTCTATCAGAAACAACTAGCAACTTCGTTATTTTGAACGGAGCACCCTGTATTTTATTGCATTTTCAGATTCTTCCTGGAGAGCTAATTTCATCAATGTATCACACTTGAGGTCTAGCAGAAATGATTACAGAGATATAGGGTGTTCAAAATCGAGATTTCTCAATTTTAGTATTTTTTTGTGTTGAAACTATTCATTATCGATCAAAACGGCTTACATGTACCTATCTTGACTTTCGTTTCACTATCTACTGTCATTTAATTGGAACAGATACAGGGTGATCGGAATTCTGAATCTTGAAGCACCTAGTATTTTTTCCAATTAAATTCCAGTAGATAGTGAATCAAAAGTTAAGATAGGGACATGTAAGCCGTTTTGATCGATACTGAATAGTTTTGACACAAAAAAAATTCCGAAATTGAAAAATCTCGATTTTGAACACCCTATATCTCTGTAATCGTTCCTGTTAGACCCCAAGTGTGATGCATTGATGAAATCAGCTCTTCAGGAAGAATCTAAAAATGCAATAAAATACAGGGTGTTTCATTTGAAATAACAAAGTTGCTAGTTGTTTCTGATAGAAGTGGCAACACTGTATCGATGAAGATATTTTAGACGGGTAGAGAATGTTCAATTATCAAAGCATCACAACAATTTTCAGAATGATATGTCTTTTCGTTCTCCAGATACTTCTAATCGGCCATCCACCGTGCATCACCCTGTATATAATATACTGGGTGACACAGGAGACATGTAACAGCCTGTAGTTTGTTCATTTGAAGAGATACAAATTTGAAATCCAGAAGGGTTATTTTATCGATGATGGCGCTTCCCTTGAACCCAATGACAATTTTCTTCAACCACCTGTTTGATCGGAAGTAGACCCAAGTTGGGTTCTCCTCATTGCCTTAACACCTCTGCCTAAACAGTCAAATCACAAAACAATAAAAAGTCTAACATTATGTGTTCTGTCACAAAATAATGACTTGTCGAACGTCAACTATCGTTGTTTTCCTCAGAATTCAGAACCTGGCGATATCAAAATCTCCCTCCTGAACGGCTTTTTTCAAGAAAAAACCTTTTTCCCTCAACGTTCAGGAATTCCCACGAAAACGGAAATCTCTAAAGGGTTGAAGACAGCATGTTTACATGGACAATCATGCAAGCAGCATACGTGAAATAAAAAATGGCGTGCCTCAAGGTTCCGTCTTGGGTCTGCTCTTTTATTCTTGACTCGTGCTCAGTCTAAAATCTGCGCAATTAAATACTCGCTACTTTACAATTGCTGACGACACGGTCTTGACATATACTGGCACAGATATAGAAGAACTCATCAAACTTGTAATCGAAGATATTAAAAGATATAAAAACTGGCTCATACATAACAATAAACTATAACTCAATATGAAGAAAACAAAATTCATTATTTTCAAACAAAAAAATGTGAGCATTGGTGGCGTTGAAATAAAAATAGGTGGAAAACTGGTTGAAAAGGTTAACAATTTCAAATATTTAGGTCTCATATTGTATGAAAATTTGAGCTGGAAGCTCATAGATCACATGACTAAAAAAAATTATACCCATGGTTGGAGCACTTTATAGATACAGGGAATATCTGAGCTCTGAAGTGAAATACATGATCTACAACTCATACCTTCTGTCGATCTTCAGGTATCTGATCGTGATATGGGGGACATGTAATAAAACGACATTTCAAGAAATGCAAAGATTGCTAAACAAGGTTATTAAAATATTATTCTCTATCAACTACTTAACACCAACGAATACTTAATATGAAACAACAAAATTAAACAAACTGAATGGAATCTTGAGTTTGGAGCAATGTAAACACACATACAAAATAGTGAATCACAAACATAAAACAAATATAAATTCCTTGAACCTCAATGAAATACATTACTATAACATAAGAAATCAAAATAACATATACCTTCCAAATATTCGAACAAATGTTTCACTAAATAATCCTATAAACAGGTGTATACATGTATATAATTCAATACCACAAGCATTTGAGGAAATACCAAATGAAAATTCATCACACTTGGGGTCTAACAGGAACGATTACAGAGATATAGGTTGTTCAAAATCGAGATTTTTCAATTTCGGAATTTTTTTTGTATCAAAACTATTCATTATCGATCAAAACGGCTTACATGTCCTCATCTTAACTTTTGATTCACTATCTACTGGAATTTAATTGGAAAAAATACAGGGTGCTTCAAGATTCAGAATTCTGATCACCCTGTATCTGTTCCAATTATTGAATGTCGCTAGATCCCAAGTGTGATGCATTGATAAAATCAGCTCTTGAATCTAAAAATGCAATAAAATACAGGGTGTTCCATTTGAAATAACGAATTGGGGTCCACTTCTGGTACAACCGGAAGTGCCACAATCTTCAAAATATTTTAGCCGGATAGCCCTTATCAACAATAGTGAACTACCAAATTTTCAAATTCGGCCCACCTATGGTTTTCTATATATTGATCGATGCAGTTCCAGGAGGGACACCCTGTATATGATATATCCATTGTACATATAGGACAGAATGTGTTACTTATTAGTTATATTCCCCGATACCAGTATTCTATACTGCTTAGGGGTTTTCTTGAATTGGGGCTATGCAATGTATAGATTATTAAATTTATGTCACATTGTAATCAAATCCTGATTAAAGATATATTGCTTAATAAAATATGACAACACTGCCGGCGACCGCTCACGGCGACTGTTTCTCTTCCAGGTCGGCATCTTCCCGTCGAACTTCGTCGCGCATCAACACCCCTTCACGGACCACGTCAATTCCGTGATAGCCGACATTGATCCGGTGCGCATCGACTTTGCCGAGCTGGAACTCGAAGAGGTCATCGGCGTCGGCGGCTTCGGCAAGGTGAGAGAAAAACATGTTTGGTATGAATTAATTCATATGAATTAACCCATTACCTCCCACGGATATGTTTTTCTTATATTCATAGGTATTTTCTAATAACTAGCCCTTCCTAGTAACACAAACACTGGAAAAATATTGAGAAGAAATATTTCTGGCAGGGTCTTGAGAAAAATTGGTGTATTCAAATGAGTACGATGGGAGGGTGCATAGAAAAAAACTCAAAATTTTTAATGCTACAAAAAAGTGTTTGATATTTTGAAATTGCATCACAATCCAGTTGGGTATTGTCAGAGAAGAGAATGTAACTCTTTATTTCTTGAAATTCATTTGTAGACATACTGGAAGCAACTAATGGTACCGAAACTTCACCTGAAGCGTTGACGGTGCATGGGTTCTCGCGGGTAACTGCCAACAAGCAGCAGTATTTCTATCCTGATTTTTATATCGGCCTCGGTTACCACAAAACTATGGTTATTTTTTTGTGAGGCATAAGGGTTTGATTACTCAACGTTTTCATCAAACAATCTCTCCAAGGTCTGAACTACACTATCGTTCTTTACATCCACTACCATTTTTTGTAATCTCTCCTAACCCTAGGTTCTGCCTGTCATACTTATTACTGATATCCATGTAATTCCTTGGCCTTGTCTACTTGGACTTCTCCAATTTTTCTAATTCCTTAATTTTTTAAAGTTATTGGTTTCTTGAGAAAAAGTACTGAAAGCGGCACGTTGTCGTCAAGGCTGTTGCTATTGTCGCTATCCATGACTCCTTGACTTCTAGCAGCTACTTCAGATGAAGGAATTCCATCATCTGAGGAACACGGAATTTCAACTTCTCAATGTATACCTGAGGATATACCAATATCGCTTTTGTCAAATTCTTCCCCATCTCGTTGAGTGCCTACCTCAGATGGAATAATAATTATTTGCCTACAAGGTCATCTGTAGTCTATTCCATATATGAGCCGTATGACCCTTTTCTGCTAGACAAATATTTTGCTTTGTTTTGACGAACATCCCCAAATGGCAATATTTTAAGAAATATCGGGATATACAGCAGCAAAGTGAACATTTAAAAGTTGAGTCTTATTGAAAGTTAACCTCAATTGTCTAATAGCATATTGTTCCAACAGACTTTTTTGTCTAACAAAACAGCCTACCAAGAACGCAGTCTATGGACCCTTAATAAACAAAGATCCAAATGTGAAAAACTTATTGCTGTAATTTGCTAATAACAAATTATCAGTATGATACCAAATGATTGTCTAGAATTAAACATTGATATTGGTTGAAACAAAGGAAATGTCCCATTTTGACATGAATAATCCAATGACCCGTCAAGGTACCATTGACCGTGAGATGCGCTGTATAAATACAAGCGTTTGGATTAGTGAATGTGATATATCTGAACCATTGTCTGCTAAATATGGAGAAAAAAATCTAGTGAGCTGTAACTACTGGTCTGCTCTATAGCTCAGTTGAGTTGTTCCTACCAGAAAGTGTGAAACCGTCTCTATTAATATATTTCCAAGTGATATTTCTTTGCGACATATGTCGATACATTCTGTATTGAGTGTTACAGGTTCATTACAAGTAAGATAATCAGAGCCCTGATCAAAAGCTAATAATCCATACTACTAATTCTACCTTTCATTTAATTTAGGTGTTGAACATTACGAAATTGGGGACTATTGTAGTGTCTGTAGCAACCATTTTGAGAAGGAATGATTTTTTTAATTTTCGAGTTACTGAGTGACTATGTCCTGATACTGAACTCAAAAGTCACTGAACATACTGCGCCGCCGGCCGAGACTGCCGAGAGCATCGCTGAGGGAGTTGCTCAACTCGTTTACGATTTTCAAGGTTATGTAGGTTTGACAGGAAAACAATTGAAATAAGTGTTTCCTCTAGTTGACCGTATGGCGGCACTACTGTGTCGGCCACAGGAACCTGTAGGTGATTTTCCTTGTTTGAGCAGACCAGATACTACATCTCACTAGTTTTTTTCTCTCCATAGTCAGCAGACAATGATCTGAACATTTTTCCAATTATAAATTCGAAGGTGTACCGCGGCGTGTGGCGCAGCCGCGAGGTGGCGGTGAAAGCGGCGCGCCAGGACCCTGACCTCGACGTCTCCGTCACGCTCGACAACGTCGTCAAAGAGGCGAAACTCTTCTGCCTGCTGTGCCACGAGAACATCGTGTCATTGGAGGGGGTGTGCCTGCAGGAGCCGAACCTGTGTCTTGTGCTCGAGTACTGCAGGGGCGGCTCGTTGAACAGGGTGTTGGCGGGCAGGAAGATCAGGCCCGACGTGCTGGTCGATTGGGCCATACAGATAGCGCGCGGCATGGACTATCTGCATTGCCGGGCGCCTATTTCGTTGATACATCGGGACCTGAAGAGCTCTAACGGTGAGTACCTGATAGCTTTTTTCCTACTACCATCTATGAAAGCAAAATGAAAAGCAGAAATACAAAATGTTTAGAAGGCTACCAACCAAATTCCTTCTTCCCAATAAATTGAAATGGTATTATGGGATATGATTATTGCATATCAAGATACGAGGGTTATCAATTAGGATGCATTGAGGAAAATACAAAATCATTGATTGGAAACTTCTTGTATGGAGTCCTCATTCTTCAGTCCTCTTACAAGTCGGTCAAGCACTGATAAACGGTTCGAGCTAGGTAGTATGTTCGTTGATGGTATAGGTACCTTCTAAGTACTATTGGAGCTCTCAACTCCATGTTACATTGTTTGTGGGCGAACTCTTTTGTGAGACGGGATATAGTTCCTGAGATGTGTTGTGTGCTTGTCAGTTCCTATAAGAACTTGTTCAAAGGATTTTGAAGTGGGTATCTGGCGTGCCTGATTTTTATAATAGTTTCAAAGACTTGACGTTTCCGCAATTTCCAAGTTCCTCAATGATGGTCTTCTGTAGTTGGTATATGTAGGATGAGCCTATTCTAAAATGAGACAACAAACAACTCATTTTGTAGATATAGCTGTGGTTTTCACATTGATTCGTTTTTTCTTGGTGATCAGTTTTTTCAAATGTTCTGCTCTTTTTATGCATTTTCTCTTAATACTTTTAGTGTGATGTTTGAAGTTGAGTTCATTATCTAGATGGACACCAAGATTTTTGCTGTTGTTGAACATCTGATAGTTTGGTTGTTCACTATGATTGAGGGTAAGTCATCTTTTGGCGAATTATTGAAATTGATCAGTTGGGACTGCTGAAGATTTGGCATAAGCCTCTATTTGTCGTCAAAGAGTCACTGGAGGGGGTGTGCCTGCAGGAGTCGAACTTGTATCTCGTGCTCGAATACTGCAGGGGCGGCTCGTTGAACAGGGTATTGGCGGGCAGGAATATCAGGCCCGACGTGCTGGTCGATTGGGCCATACAGATAGCGCGGGGCATGGACTATCTGCATTGCCGGGCGCCCATTTCGTTGATACATCGGGACCTGAAGAGCTCTAACGGTGAGTATTTATTTATTCATTTATTCACGGGAATATCCATTTCATCACTGTAAGTAAAATCTTGAAACGATAAATAATATTTGCAGTCTTTAAAATATTCCTACAAATGCTAACTCACTAAAGGGACATTAACACTCCTACTTAAAAACAGTGGTTCTACAAATATTATAAGAAAAAAAAAATACATATTATAGGTACTACACAAAATTATAAAAACTCTTATTATGATGAGAGATCAATCACATACAAACGTCTAGTATCACCGAGCCAAGTATTTTTTTAGTTCAAGTCTGAAAGTAGATAAGGGTATGTCGAAGTAGTTCAAATCTACATCATTTGCCTTCCTTACCATTCTTGTTAGAGGACTGTGGAACCCATAGTTTCTGTAATGATGCTTAATATGATATGTATATATATATAATATGATAGTATTTAATTCTTTGGTAGGTAAAACCATGAATGAGCTTAGTCATTATGAGTATGCATATGTACGGACTTGCATACAAGGTCAATAACTTCCTAACAAAATGCAATAGATATTTTTTTTACATGAAGTACTTATATTATTTTGGCTCACTCTATCAGCCCTATCATTTACGAAATTACCATTCCGGACACCCTGTATATCAAGGGATCAAAATTATCTACTTTCTACCGCGTGTAAAGTTTGATGCCCGATGCGTAGCGAAGGTCACTAAGACCCACGGAAGTTAATATCCTCATTCCGTCATTCCTTGCTCGCACAAGACTTTCGAAGACTTTTGAGGGTTGCTCGTAAGGGGGCAACCGAATGACGGATAGAACAAATTTTAGAAAATTTTTTAATTCCTGGGGAAGTCCGGGTATTCTTTGGGAGGTCCGGAAGTTCTTTGGGAAGCCTGGAACTTCTTTGGGAAGTCTGGAACTTCTTTGGGAAGTGTGGGAATTCTTTGGGAAGTCCGGGAATTCCTTGGGAGTTTCGGGAATTCCTTGGGTGGTCCAGATAGTCTTTGGGAATTCCGGGTATTTTTCAGGAAGTCCGGGAATTCTTTGAGTAGTCCAAGGAATTCCTTGGGTAGTTCCAGGAATCCCGGGAATTCTTTCGACAAAGGAAGTCTGGTGTACCCGATATTGGCGTGATTTACCTCTCATGTTTGAGACACTCTAGTATGCATATGTCTTCACCAGTATGGCCCTAAGGTAATGGGCTTATATCACAAAACATTTTTATTTGATAATTCGATAGAACTCACCCAAACTAGCTCACCACCGCAAACCGTTTCTTGCTGTGAGCTCCCTACGTTTCATAAAAAATTATTTAAATCCCCGATTTTTCGGACGTCTGAAAACGAGGCGATGATATGACGTCACAACCCTAATACTGAAACAAGACTATTCCAGACAGAGATGAATCATACATGATTTCTGACAGAGTGAATTAGCGCGAGATCACAGTTGAAAGAATTAATATATCAGTTGCCTCAGTATCCGTCGGGCGTTTGGTATTGTCTTTTAACTATGGCGAGATGAGGTTTC